CAAGAAAAGGAACGGAAAGGGCATAAAGTCCATCCTTTCCTCACGGATCCACCCTGAGAAAAAAAAAAAAATAATCGAACCAAAGGAATATTCGAATAGTATCTAAAGAATATTTTGTTAATTCAAAGAATCGAATTGATGCAACGTTTATTCGGAATTATTACTATATGGAATTTATTTGAGTCTAATAATTATTCTCTGAATTAAATTATATATTCCTTTGGTTATATTTTTTTTTTCTCGGTGCATGAGATGATCTTGATTTACCGGGAATTCTTAAATGTAGGGGTGTTGTCACCTCGAAGAATTCATCGATGCCCGTGAATTTTCTCTGCACCCCGCGCCGCGTTCCACGGCAGAGGTGTAAAAAGCCGCAGCGATTACCGCACGGCGGCCGCGTGGGCGTGAATTACCGCCGGCGATACGTCCACTGCCGTTCGGGCCCTCGGACGGACATTCTGCAACGCGGTTAGGCATTCCGCGGACTATCCATAAGATCCTTCAGACTTTGCTAGGATAAGGACTAATGTAAATGGCCACCGTGGCATTTTACGGAGGGCACTCCTTTGGTATTATGCCCGCGCGTTTCATCTCGCGCCTGGAGGCCGTTGCGAGGTGCACCGCGGCAGGCGTATTCACGTGCTCGGTAGATCTCTAGACATCTAAAAATGTTTATACTTTATTTCGAGTATGGCACTCGAGAGCCATATGTCGGGTAGGGGACAGTCGACGCACTCGAGAAGAGCGGCCCTAGACTGGGTACGTCGCGTCTCATTTATCAGGGAAAAGCACCGATCCTTTCGGTCGCTCTTCGGTCTGGAAGACCCGGAGATGATTGCACGTGCCCGGGAAGATGGCAACCCGATCTGGAAGAAATCAAGTGCGAATTGAGCACGGCCTGCCGCGAAAGCAAAAGTCTGCTCGGCCGAGCAACAAGGATGTATAAATAACTCGATCGGACGTGAGACGCAACGCGATACCCTTGCGGCATGGCGAGACCGTCGTCGCCGACGAAACGCCGTCGTTAGACGCGAATTTCTTCCAATAAATCGAATATCGACCTCGTCGATCAGCCCCTGTCGCATCGGGCGGCTGGAAAAAAACCATTTCTGGATCGGCGAGGTACTCGAATCGAAGAGACGAGTCCGGCGATTTGTTTTACGGGTGCTCTGTATCTTCGACCAGGTCTCGTCTTTTTAGGGCCTCCCTTCAACAATGTCCTCGTGATCGGGGACTTTACGATTGGCCTGATGAGCTGCGCGTGCCTGGTCGTACCCTTTAAAAAATACAACTCTTTGGGGAAGGATGGCTCCTCGGCCGGAGTGGGTTAGGCATAGAAGGGGTCGCTCATCACCAATAAAAGGGATTCCCCGATCGCCAATAAAAGGGTTCCCCGAGTCTTTGGAGGCCCAAACCACACGGCTTAAAGCTCTCCCCGAATTCCCCTTTCGCTAAAGGGTGAAATGCACAAACCCTTTGTGAGTCTCCGGCCTCCCAATGGGATTTCCAAGCCCAACCTCTCGCACCGAGGAGAAAGTTCTTCGGCCTCGCGAGGACGCTCGATGCCGAGATTTTTTACGACGCCGTTTAAGCTGCGGGAATGGTCAGAAAAATCCTAAAAATTGCCGGCCATCCTTAGAAGGGTTTATGATTTTTTCTTTTCCCGATGTCCAGGCACGTTTTACGAGGATTTTCCATTCGAACGTTCTCGGGACTCTACCCTTTTACAATCCTTGCGAACTTGACCCTTCCAAGTCGCATCCCTTTTTATGCCTTTACAGCCCCGAAGGGTCGACGTCGGTGGAAGAGGTTCCGCCTCGGCAGAAGAGGTCCAATAAGGAAATCGCGTCCCTCCGAAAAATCCTGCGGTTTTCACAATGAGTCTTTACCGTCCCCTTGCTTTGCCCCGAGGCTCAGAATGGAGTTTTCGCCCACGAGCCAAAATAGCGGTTTTTACGACGGCATAACCTTTTTGTCAGCTCGCGAGTCCGTCTCCTTGACCAAAGCGCGTCGACGTTTACCGAAATCCGTGTGGCGGAGAAATATGGAATATCGGTGCTCGCAGAATAAATGAACGTTTCGTCACTCCACCATGACGGAGAGCGTCGAGACGGCCCAGGTTTGGGCAGGGAATTGCGGTACCCGGCACTCAAATGAAAGGCTGCGATTCGTCTTGGTCAACATCCCGTAAAGGGTGTCGGCGGCCAACCCTAATCCATCAAATTTACAACCACCGTTTGCAAATTCTCCTTTCGCCTTGGGGATCGACCAAGGCCGGGCATCTGCGTTTTATGATTTAACCCTAATTAAAGAGGTACGTCTGTGCATCGGCCCGACGACCCGGCTCCTCCAATGACACTTTCCTAGCTTTGTCTCTCGATGGCCAACAATACACCCCGGTATCCGTACCGAATAGTCTTCGAGAACCACCGTAAACATTGCTAAACTCGCGAACGGTGCAAACGCATGCGTACGAGTGAATCCGGCAAAGTCCAATCGGCGAGCGCACGTCTTCGCCTTCCGAAACCGATGGTCAGCGCGTTTCATCAAGAGTGCAATTGCAGCTCCCTCTCGGGCTTTGAATTCAGATTCGGATTGAATCGCGGGCACCCCGTAATCACGGGAAAGTGCAACGCAATTTTTATTATACACCTGGCCAGACCGTAGGGCCAATGCCGGCCACCAAAATGGCCGAGCAACGGTCAACCTTGCCTTTCCTTTCGGAACTTCGAGTACTTCCCAAACTTTCTCGGGAGTCCAACCCTTTCCCAAAATATTGGCGAATCATCATTACAGTGGCTAGCGCTAACCCGTCCAGTGATTAGAGCCGGACTCCCGGCTTTGGCATACGAGGTAGCCGAGGCATTGTTGGGCTCGAACAATGGACTCCTCCTACTTACCGGCCCGGTCAGTAAATAAGACCCGGATTTTCGAAAGGGTTAAGAGTCGAAAATTATCCGCCGACTCGGTCACGAGCGTGCCAGGAAACATAGGAGGGAAAGGAAGGACGTCCCTTTCCTGGCTTTCCAAAAGGCCCGTTTAAAAGTCCCGCCAAATTCGCAGATTTTCGCGAATCTTTAATCGCCCTTCACCTAAGTCGGCTTAGGAAGGAACTTATCGGAAAAACATCCGCCATACTAAGAAGAGCACCCAGGGAATTATTTTCTCAATCCCAAGAATAATAATTTAACTCAAACTCGAAATCAATTGGATGCAACGTTCGTTCGGAACTATCAGAATTCATGTGCTTTGAATAATTATTCTCGAGGTCAAGAAAATATTTCTTCGATTGAATGAATTTTTTTTTTCCTCGGGGTAAGTACCGGTACATACACCGAGGGGCTCACCACGCCATATGGGGATAAGTTCCTCGAAAGGGGGAAGGTGAATCGCATAAATCGCGCAAATCGAGCCGGGTCTTATCGGCGAGTTCGTGCGAGCCAATTGGTCGCCTGGAGAGGCCCGTAAAACAGGCACGCATGCCTCTCTCGTGGGTCCCTCGGCTGACAGGCCGCCAATTTCGCGTTATTATCCGTTAAGCTAATAGTGCCGAAAGCGGCGACTCGCGATTACGGCCGCTCGGGCGAGAAACAATTTCGCAGGAAACATAACGCGCTATTTATTTCGAGCCCGTGGGACCGTCCTATATACGTATCCGCGACCCGCGCTTACGTCCTAACCCGCCACCTCGTAAACCCGACGAGTCACGGAATCGTGTGACCCCCGTCGACGGCAACAGGTAGGAAGAAAGAACAACCGGAACGTTACCGAGATCCGAACTGCGCAATACAAATTATCAGTGCAAGGAGAAACGCATTCGTCATAATTCCTAACCCCTGAGCAAGATGGTTTAATCAAGGTGACCACAAGATACTAGTTACAATACCTCGTTTACGGTACCTCCATACATAATATCATGTTTGAAATGAAAACGACTTGCAGTTTTTCCAGTGCAACGGGATTTGCACCTTTGTATGTAAATTCGCTTAATCATTTGTGCGGTTCAAATCGTCAGGATATATTTTACCTACATAGTAGTGATTATATATGAAATTGTACGTTTCCGCAGTTCGCTCTTTCGTGGAAGTGGCCGCAGGATCGGGGAGCGAAGGTTCGCGGGCCCAACAGGTAGCGCCCCCACTTTCCGCCAGTCCTCGGAAGTCCCGAGTCCCACGCGCCCGGCGTTCGGCCGCAGCCGAGGCCGAAGATTGCCGACGAGGCCCGAGCGGCGCTCCCGCTCTCGGCGCGCGGAGTTTCCCCCACTCCGATTTTAAGCGCGCCGCGCGGCACGCTCGGCGAGAGAGTGGGGGGCCCAGGGAGCCGGTCGGAGCCAATCAAGGGACGCGCGTCGCACGCCGCGTCGAATCCCACTCCGGGGATTGGCGGCCGGTCTGCTGCGTCCTTGTCGAGCCGTCTCGCTCGGCGGTCGTTCCGTCGACCTTTTGCCTCTTTTGCCGGGCCTCTTTCATCCCGCTCGTACGCAGGGCGCCAGCGATCCTCCCTCTCTCTCTCGGTACCCGCATGCGCCCTGAAAGCGAGAGGACCCAGAGTTCCATTTCTAGGATCCCGCTCCTATTCTCGGAAGCTTTATCGCATCTCTCTATACACAACCGAAGTCGTGACCTCGACTTTACCCCCTGACCTTGCGCGAGGGATACGCGATAACTATTCTCCAATATATATAAGGGTCCTATACATATTATATACATATATATTTTTTTTTTCATAGTCGTATGGAATGGAATGAGCGGGAAACTCGATGTAGGTTATTCGGCAGACCGATAGCGGATTCGATCTTGACTTCGAGGCAGTGACGCACGCTCGCGCGTGCTCGTAGACGCGTGAGTAGTCGCGCGAGCCCCGCGGGGGTTCGCACGACCACCAGCGCGCTGGTGGGGGTCTGGAATCCGGGAGTGGGGGGAGGTCGTCACGCGCTCCCTCCCCACTGCCGAGCCCCACTCCGAGGCCCTCGGTCGAGCATTCCGTCGGTCCCTCGACGAGCGCCGACAGAGAGGCGAGTCGCGCTCGGACAGTCGAGGTTCGACGCGTTCACAGAGAGGTCGGACCACTTGAGACACTCTGCAGCAGCCTCGCGAGTCGCGCGAGTACTGCGACCAGACTATTAACGCCGGTCTTCGGAATCAAGTGCGCTCCCCGTTTGCCTGGATTAACCGTGAAGTGCGAGTCTAGAGACGAACTCGTCTGTAGTGAACGAGTGATCGACGCCGAGGGGGAAAATACGTGTACAAACATGGTGACCGGAGTCGGTGCGACCATGCCCACCGGCGGAGTGACCGTCGGGTCCGCTCCTTCGGTCCAGCACGGACCTCAGGAGGCTGGACAGCCGCCGACTTCTACCACTGGCGCCACTGTCGCCACCACCAGGAGATCCGGCGAAAACCGACGGGTCGGTATCCTCTCCGTCGTCGACGGCTAATTTTTTAAAAAGCAATTTTTTTTTTCTACCACCTAAAAGATACGTAACTACGAGGAGTTAGTAAATATCAACCTTTCGATATTGACTATTTACATGTTTCAATGTATGTACATATTTGCAGATCGAAATGTCGATAAAGCGTGGATTTATATGCTGATTTATTGGTTAGGATGTATGTAGTATAGCACGGACAGTTTTGCCGGAAATGTCAAATTTATTGAGATGACTTTGATCACGTGGTGTTATAGACAGTTAACCCATTCTTAAGATCCGGAACTTCGTTTCATGATAATTAATTGATTATATCCTGTGGTTCATGTACCGATGCCGATATACACGGAAAAACATTAATTCGGAACTTGACTGGAAATTAACTTCTCAACGATGTCATTGTTATTTTAAAGGGTCTAAAGATTGTGGAAAAACAAAGAAGCGGGGTTAGAACTTCGCATTGATGTTCATATATCGTAGCGGTCGTCAGCCGATATGAATTTATTCTTCGCGCTGTTGGAATTGTCAGCTGCGGGAATTTCTTAACCACTTGGCAATGACGTCGTTTCATGAATTGTTAATTCTACTAAATGTTCATTCATTCGCCCGGAACGTAACGCTATCTCGGAGTTCCACGAAGTAGGTTTCGATTTTAGTTTTCATTGAAAAGAGATCAGGTCGACGGTTAACAATCACTTACATCATGGTCAGATAATGTTAAGACTCGCCGTTAATTCATTAGGTGTCAGGGTATTTCACGCGGGACTAATGATGGTTTACCCTTTCCGATTACAGAGTAACAAGCCAATCATGGAGAAAAGGAGAAGGGCTCGTATAAACAACTGCTTGAACGACCTGAAGACCCTCATCTTGGACGCTATGAAGAAAGACGTAAGTATCTTCACGATACATTAAGCAACTCGGTAGAGTTTCGAGCCAAATACATTTTTGAGCGAGAACCTCACAGCGTTGTGTTTACCATGCTATCTTGGTATTACACTAAAAGTGTATTCCTGAGGAGAGCATATCTAACTTCATATTTATCCATTTACAGCCAGCGAGACACTCGAAGCTGGAGAAGGCCGATATCCTGGAGATGACGGTGAAGCACCTGGAGACGCTGCAGCGTCAGCAGGTCGCGCTGGCAGCAGCGACAGACCCGAATGTGCTGAACAAATTCCGCGCCGGGTTCACGGAGTGTGCGGGCGAGGTTGGCAGATTTCCCGGGTTGGACGCCTCGGTGAAGCGCCGTCTGATGGCCCACTTGGCATCCTGCCTGGGCCCCGTCGAGACGAATTCCGCCGGCCAACCCGGGCCAGGGCAGCAGCCGGTGCAGCCAGCGCCGCCGACGACCCAACTTCAGGTGCACATCCTACCCCAAGTGGACTCCACGCCGAGGATTCAGGTCCAACAGTCCAACGGGATCTTCTTCACGAACGCCAACGGGACGGGGTTCCAGTTGGTGCCAACCAGGCTGCCCAACGGAGATATAGCCCTTGTCCTGCCAGCTGGGGCGAAGGCAACGCCGATGACGTCGCCATCGTCGTCCCCGGCACCGACCTCGCCGTTACCAACCCTTATCCCGATCCCCCAGCGACCGGCCAGCACGGCTTCGGCGTCGTCCTCCTCGTCTTCCGCCAGCTCGACGTCCACCTCGGCTGCCAGTCCAGTAGCCTTCGAGGCTCCCCCAGCAGCCTTCAGGGAGCAGACCTCAGGGTACCAATCCGGGACCAGTCACAGGGACGTTGCAACCTCACCCGCTGCGGCCAACGGCTACACCAGTGACCCCGAGTTCGACCCCAGAGTGTACAGTCCACCTCTCCAGAAACCATTGGCCCTGGTCATGAGGAAGAGCGTATTGCCGGAGGTCGAGGACAAACCCTGGAGGCCTTGGTAACGGCGCGAGATTTGGGGAAAATCGTTGAAGGCGACCTCGCCCAGCATCCACGCCCGGTGATGCCGATTGACACTGCGGCGATCTTGCAAATCATTTCTGAGATGCTCTGTAAGTGATGCTGCATCGTAGTCCGGGTCAAGATGGACCCACATAGTCGGCTTGATAAAACTGAGTCTGTCAAGCATCTCGTCGGTTTTGGCGACCCATCAGCCTGCCAGTGCCTTACACCATGCCGTGCCTTGTACATTTGGTAGCGCGGAATTAGAGTCCTTCGTTTTATCTCCTCTCGAATTCGGGAAACTCACTCGGAGACATCCATTGTACATAAGCTAAGCGCGTATTTTAAGTGCCTTACGCAACAAGAATCACCGAGGTCTTCCATTCTGTATCTTTTTATACGTGGACGCGAGTCACTCCACGTCGCGGCGCCCCACCTGATCGGCGGTCGCGGCGTTTTGTAATTAATTTCCGAGTAGTTAAGAGAACCATATAGTTTTAAGGAAGATTGCGCATGTCTGCCCGGAGGTAGTGAGATCGAGGAAGAATGTTTTATTTATGTTTGTATGAGTGGGAACGGTCGAGTTTATAATTCCTCTCTATTGTGAAGATAGAAAACCACGCTTAATACTATAGAAATATTGAATAAATATTGATCTCCTTATTAGAACGAACATGTTGAGTTTTCATTCGAAATTGATCCCCTTGGTGGCATTTCCGAGCCTTGGATAAAATCGAGGACTCGGGTCTCGAGATTTTATGTTTCGGTTAATTCATTCTTCATTTCCCCTTTCTTCCCTTTTCTCGAAATGTCGGGATTCTCGCTTCTCGCCCGTCTCTGACGGGATCTATGGGACTCCAAGGTGCCGTCGAACACGTACCGCGCCCTTGCGGGATATTCCGTAAGTTGAGGCCTGAAACCGGTTCGGACCACGTCCCGTCCTCCTTGAATTTCAACGAGGCCCGAATCCCTTGCCCTTCCAACCCGAGACCGAAGTTGTAACCTGCCGCCACCTAGCGGCCATTTTTTAAACCCCCTGGAGCCTTTGCATCCCGACCAAAGATCACTTTCCCCGAGGAAGCTCTATCTTCATCGCCAATAGTCACCCATCTAAATTAAAAACGGGTTTCCATCGAATGTCCACTTGATATCGATTAAACGTCGACATTTGAACCGACGCGTCAGAAAGATCCATCAAAGAGTCAGTGCTCCGTATCGCTTACGACAAAAACATCCGCTTTTGCCGCCATTTAACGCGATCTCGTCCCCCCAATTTAATTCGCATTTCGGTCCGTGGCTCGACCTACAGGTATTCGTCGAGAAAAGGGATCTTTGCGAAGACGTTGTAACACGGCCGAAGCGAGAAATCCACCAGAACCAACATTACCATAATGTTCACCGCGGGCACTGCAATTTGGGGCGCAGGGGAGCAAGAGGTTTCACGATCGCACACGGAACATCCGAAATGACAAATTGAGGTGATTTTCGCTCTCAGAGCCCATCCCTATACCAGTCCGTTTAATTCTCCTCGTGGTACGAGCAATTCTCACGAGTTTTTAATTCCTTAACCCGCGGATTTCGCTAAAACGTGTCTTGGATTTCACGAAAAAACTGACGTTGCGTCTAGTAGAATCTACCAGACGCTGAGTGGGCGGATTTCGTCGCGAAGTGCTATGCGATTTCGAAAATACGTCCTTGGTGACAATGGTCGAGTTGAAAAAAAAATAATTTCCAATATAAAACGAAAAAATAAAGAAAATCTTGCATTTACGTAACGTGAAATTTGGGACACCGAGGTCCTTAGATTTCCGATCGAAAGTGTCTCTGGGCAGTTAGGCAAGACAAAGAGGACCAAGGGGTACGTTTCGTAAATATTCCCTGCTAAACTACTTAACGGCTCGTAAAACCCAGTGCATAATTTCCGAGCAGTCGGTAATTTGCACCGGTTCCGATCAGCAGTTCATTAAACGGCGAATTCGATCACGGCTCGGTCTCGTAAAAACATCGACGTTAATTAAGAGCTCGACCCGAGCCGTCGGCAATAAAATATTCAATTCGGGCGAAAGGAGATCGTCGAGACGCGAGGATGTCATATAATCGTTACGGTAATTAAAGCCGATCGATCTTTGATTGGCGAGGGATCGTCCAAGCCGATCCGAAAAGTCAGAACTCGCAATTACCCGCAAAACCGAAGCCCACTTTGATGGAAGGGCTCCGATGGGTATTCCGATTTTCTCGGAACATCAGGTTGTCGCTATGCCTCCCGGTCTTTGTTTTTTTATCCCGAGTCGATCCTTAAGGAAGGTTCGCGCTTCGTGTATAATTGCGCCTTAAGTGCCTTATAATATTGCCCGGTGGAGGATCTCTCGCTCATTGCTATGCATGGAGCGATGCAGGACGACGTGCGGCCTCCGGGTAATTGATTTCTGTCCGAGCGAGATATTTACATACGTTAATGGCGTGTTTTGGCTTAGTTAGTTTTCGGTTAAGGGCCCCGGGGATGGCGGACGATTAGCGTCATCCGTCCAAGAAACCACCCGCTAAATTTAGGGCCGTCCTAGGGCATCCACGCTCCCAGCACCTTCTCCGCGAGGAACTAAAGATACCCTATGCATCACACCTATCAGTAAACTGTAGAAACATCCAAAAGTGCGTTCCTCTCGGAAACTTCCTCCCAAACTCGTGCAGACCCTTGACAAGCCGCGAGAATTCACAAAGCCGTCGATTTGCATATCGAGCAAGAGTTGCAAGCGGCCTCGGGGATGTTTATGCTGTCCAATCGATCCCCAGCTCATGCCTGAGACCGCGAACGATGCGAAGTGAAAGATTGCATTTTGCCGATGACAAGACCTCGTTCTTGGCATCATTACCGCGTTTCACGGTTGGGCTCGGTCTCGCCAAATTACCGAGGTGACACGTCAACGTGATTTAAATGGGGCTATCGCGTCTGTAATCGCCGTATATTGACGCTGATAAGTATCCGAAAGGATGTTTCTGCTTAACTGCCGGAGCACCGAGACATGGGCAGGATTATTTTCTCACTTTTTGCCCGGTTTGCAGTCGACAATGTCGCGGACTACTTGAGGAGCTTCCAGACTTTCCAATCCCCTTAAAAAGCAACAGAGTGCATGATCACCCTTCGTCGGATCTGTGCCAACGAACGAGTCGATGTATTTTTTGTTATTCTTTTTTTCGGTCATATTCCCAAGTATTTTAATATACCGCGCACTGTATTCGCAAGTATACAGGACCTCGGCTAAGGGATAGGCCGAGTGGAAGGAAGAAAGCGATCCCGCGCGATCGACGTAGGATTCGTAAATCACTCTCTCCGTCCGAAGTCCTCGGTCCCAGGTCCGGGCCCATCTATAACTCATCGTCGGCAAAAAGTGCCGATTTGGCGAGGACGCGCCGAATGAAAATGCGCCAGGCCACGAGGAATCGTAAACCGACATATTTGGCGTGGGCTCCCGCGAGCGTTGGTATCCCACGGTTCGGGGGGACCCTGTTAAAAAACACCGTCTAGATACCGGGGACACCGGAGCTGGACGTGAACTCGAGGTAGTCTCCCTGGGGAAGACTCCCTTTCGTGGTGAACCATTAAAACATCACCGAGGACCATTTCAGCGAAGGCAAAGAACGCCGAATGAAAGGGACGCGAATCGCCAATGACCAAGGGTCATCAAGACGGTCGCTGAATGGACCACCTAGAGATACAAAAAAGCGTGCTAGGGACTACCCCCTAATGGATCTCACGTTGCCAAAATTTTAAGGATAAATAAAAAATGAAGCTGCATATCCTGGACCTGTCTTTGGCTCCTTGGTGGGGCTAGAATGGAATCGGCGGATCGAGGCATCCCCGCCGCGCCTCTCGACGCTCGATAAAAACCGGGAGGAACGCGACGTGCTATCTCCGAGACTCGATCGGGGTGGGACTTCGCCCTCTCCCGCTGGAGTGGAATCGATTGGAAGACGAGTCGCTGTATCAAATATTGAGTCGATCGCCGCAGCTGCCCGTTCTTTGTATTCCACCTTGCCAGGGGTCCAGGGACCGAGTAGTCGCCAGGGATCGTTCCGGAGGCGACAAGTCGAGCTGGACGTCCCGATGACTTCCACTTTCCTTCCAGCCGATTTGAGCCAACCCGTGCACCACGTACTCTCGATTTTGCGCCGCGGTGACATGCCCGAGTACGGACGTGTCCATTTACCCGATCAATGACGAAGTTGACGTCCAATGTGGACGCCGGCCAACTAGGCGAATGCACTCTCGCCGCGTGACCATTTTAAGTCTGACCGATCCCACGCGTGTCGTGGGCCACCGAGTCCACGCACACGTCCCACGTTTTCTGTCGACAGTCATCCTCTCCCAGTGGACGTCACGCTGGTCCATTGAATTCACGTTCGAGCGGACAAGCCGAGCTCCTGATGACCCGGCTCTCCATCATACCCCAGTGACCCATTACCCACCCTCGGCGTGGAAAGCGAGGTCCCTCCTGCTAGAACCTCTCGAGGAGGGCTTAGGAAATTCTTAAATGCCCCATTCAAATCCCCAGAAGTTCTGCCGATGATCCATCGCGCGGTACTTGCTGCTGGTACCCGCCTGTATCAAGACAAATGCATCAAGTAGGGTGATTCACGTTCGAGGGTCCGGTTGATTCGAGTGGTACCCTCTATCCCAGCCCTCGTCATTGATGCCGGACCCGGGACATCCAATTAAGACGTCAAATTCCTTAAATGCGGCAAGTAAATGCCGCACCGATACTCATCCTGCATCGGGAAGTTGAACGCGAGGCCCAAACTTGGAGTACACAGCTGCCGCTCAGATTTGCCCGGAGATAATTGCGTGGCTTTTCCAAAAATGGAATTCAGCACGAGCCTCGGGGGCCGGCCATTGTTTCTCGAAAGAAACTGCCGTTTTGAGCGACTCCGTGACCGGAATACCGTTTTGGCTAAAGCGTCGGCTCTTCCGACCGTCTTCGCCGATGCGGCGTCGGACTCCACGCTTATGATGTTTGACGCCACGTTGCGGGCCTTCGCACCTTTTAAAATCTTCTCTTCTAGCTTTTTCCTAGCTTCTGCTGCAGGAGATTCGTGTCTAACCGCGGCTAATTGCGGGTTCTGATGGCAGGATATGCGAGGTTGGGCACAACGTTCCCAAGGTACAAGGTACCTTTCGCCGCATACGGAAGGTCCAGTTTTTGGCATCACCGACAGGAAGTGGATTCTACTTAACGATCCAGTCTTGCCTCCTTCTGTGGTTGAGATCCAGCCTCCAAATTGCGACTCGCCGAGAGGCGCATTCATCTCTATGCCGCAGTGGACCGTTCTCATTTGAATGGGATTTTGGCAACGACACGTCGACTTCAATATGCCGGCAAAAACGCTCCTTCCAGCCGATTAAAGAGGAATGCACCGGACGCACCCACGGATACGGAGTCCGGAATCAAAGCGTTGTCATCGGGTGATTACCGCGGTAAATATTATCCGTCGCAATTACTCGTCCTACCAGACGGACCAGCCAGGACCCCGGCACGTAATCATGCCTGGTAAATAAATGATTTCATATTAACAATCGGTATTGAATAGGGCCGGTTATAAATCAGGCGCACTTGTTAGCGGGCGCGCCTGGCACTCGACGTTGAAAAATGCACGCGAGGCCCAATCGGCGGGCAATAT